GATAGGGGGGAGCTCCCCAACCCCCTGATCGCCCTGCAGCTCTGTGTGTGACACGGTGCGGCGCCCCAACCCCTTTATCGGCCCTGCTCTGTGTGTGACATGGTGCAGCGCCCCAACCGCTACCTATGGGCCCTGCTCTGTATGTGATGGGGTAGAGCCATAACCTCCCCATCAGCCCTGCCCTGAGTGTGAGAGTGGCGGCGCCCCAACCCCCTGATCCACCCTGCTCTGTGCGTGACAGGGGGGAGCTCCCCAACCCCCTGATGGGCCCTGCTCTGTGCGTGACGGGGGGTGGCGCGACAACCTCCCCATCGACCCTGCCTTGAGTGTGACCAGGGGCAGTGCCCCAACCCCCAATTGGCCCTACCCTGAGCGTGACTGAGGGTTGCATCGCAACCTCCCGATCCGCCCTGCTCTGTGCATGACAGGGGGCGGCGCCCCAACTCCCCAATCAGCCCTGCTCTGAGCCCGACCAGGGGCTGCACCTAGGGATTAGGCTGCCCTCTGCCACCCGGGAGCAGGCCTAAGCCAGCAGGTCGTTATCTCCCGAGGGTTCCCAGACTGGGAGAGGGCACAGGCTTGGCTGAGGGACCCCTCTTCCCCCCTGAGTGCACAAGTTTTTGTGCACCGAGCCTCTAGTGTAAACATAAATGACTGATAAAACTTTTTCAGAAAAAGTGACACTTTGCCAAATAATGTCCTTACCCTGATTTGCACATAATATAACTCAGAATCTTTTCACTTTGACCTGGCCCATCTTTTTAAAGACTGTAAAAATGAATGTTTTATATCATCAGAGCTCTGCCATTTGAGGTAATGAAATAGAGGAATGTCTGGTACACTGGATTTAAGTCCTGCAACCACACGTTTCATAAATGAGGTTGATTGGAGCACAGCCACCTGGTCGCTCACTCATTGCCTGTAGCTGCTTTTATACTGCAGCTGTACGGAGTGTAAAACTATAACCTTTAAAACCAAAACTCTCCTCTACCTGGGCCTGTACGGAAGTTGACTGGCCCCTCCCTTAGATATGTACACAGTATCTCCGGTTGTTCACATCACATTTGGTTCTTGCATCTCTGATTGTAAGAAGCAAGTGTTCAGATAGCAAGAGACTTAAAAATTTATCTGAATTCGTTTGGTTTCTGTTGCAAGAAATGGTCTAGGAGGGGCTAGCGCTCACAAAGGCATAAGTAAGTTATCTTGGAACCTGCTTTTAGCCAATTAGCTAGGAGCTACATATTCTTCCCTGTTAGAGAAGAAAGCAGCCTTTGTATTCTTCAAAGCAAATCTTATTTTGCATCTGGAAAGAGCACCCATGTAGCTGGCCAAGTTCTGTTTTACTGTCTCCGTGTTCCCACAGGCGAGCACTCGCACATGCGTGGCCTGCGCGGTGCAGGCCGTTTGGGGCTCTAGTTGTTTTCTTTCTGGAGACAGGTCCCTTGAGAGCTACATGCACAATTCGAAGAATGTAAAATGCTTTGTTTTATTTATTGTCATGAAAGTGGTTCTCTTCTGACCTCATCGTAAAGATAGATTCTCAGAAAACGTGAATGTCATGATTGGCCTCACCCTGCTGAGGCCCTGTTTCACCCACTGTCTCAGCTTCTGCAGCTGCTTGTGACACACAGTGATTTAAGCAGACGTTTTATTTACGTAGACATTTTATTTATTTTCTATGTTTTTATTGATTTCAGAGAGGAAGGGGGTGGGAGAGAGAGATAGAAACATCAGTGATGAGAGAGAATCATTGATTGGCTTCCTCCTGCATGCCCCACATGGGGGATCCAGCCCACAACCCAGACATGTGCCCTGACCAGGAATCAAACCGTGACCTCCTGGTTCATAAGTCAACGCTCAACCACTGAGCCACGGCGGCCGGGCTGTGTAGACATTTTAGATGGCACGAGGTATTGTCGTATATTCTAAGGCAAGTAGAGTTTATTTGGAAAGTGAAAATGAAAGGCTTTATTTCGCAAACTGTGGTGGACGTACCATCAGCTCTTGGCAATCTATAAATCCACTCAGCTGTATCTCCGAGCCCCATGCTTATGAGCCCCTTTCCCATTCTCCGTTGTATGTGCGTGTATGAAGCTGTGAGGAATACTAAAGGATGTGGAAATACCAGTGACGTTGTTACGCAGCAGACGGGGGGGATCCTCCCACCTTCCTCTGTGGCACAGGCCAGAGGAGCAGCCCTCACGGGCGTGCACAGCCTGAGCTGACCAGTCCGCCTCTTCCCAAGAGTTTGGAAGGAGAACTGGGAGCATGTGAAACTCAAAGGCTAACACAGGCCAAATAAACAAGGTTTAAGTTTATGGGCCGCAAAAAACCAAAAGCTTCAATTTTCATAGAAATGTAGGTTTGTTTCAATAGAGACCTGCTAAATACAAAGGGCTGAAATAAATGAGTCATCATTAACATAAAATAATAGAACATTTTAATAAAAATTAAT